TGTGTGTGTGTGTGTGTGTGTGTGTGTGTGTGTGTGTGTGTGGGCTTGTTTTTGCTACATCATGGAAAACCAATTTCCAAAAAAAAGCAGTCTTGTAGGGACCGAATGAGCATTGTGGGGACCAGTGCATGGAAGCTAATTTTGAGAGGGAAGTTTGCTTTAGGACAAAAGTGTGAGCTGAGTTTAGGGTCAGGTACCTGTGAGGTTAATTTTAGGGTAAATGGTCAGGGTTAGGCTATAAAATTACCAAAAATCTACAGTCCCCACAGGGATATAAAAACAAACTTGTGTTTTTGTACTTGTTTGTTATTAGTTTTAGCAAAAGTTTTCCTGAACCACTGGGTGGATTTTAATGAAACACTCAGAAAGCTGTCCTTTGTTGTTTAATTTCAACTATTAAATTATGGAGGCAAATCCTATTCAAGATCACAGCTAACCAACCTTAGCAAACATATAAATGGCTCTTGGTGTGGTAGTAGCTATGAGTCATTCTCATATCATGCTGTGAGAGCTAAATGAAAACTTTCCCATTAGCTATTAGAATCAACCATGTCTGTCTGTTAGCAAAGTATTTCATAAACCACTGAATAAATTTAAATTAACGTTTATAAAATATGTCGACAAACAATCTATCCAAACCAATTTGGCCGCCACAATCATCTAATTCAGAAATACAAAATATAACCAGAATTTAGTCAATTTAATTGACACTGAGCTGAAATGTGTTGGTAGTAGCTGAGTATCAGTGTTTACGTTGAGAACTTTACATTACCCAATATTATTGCTTAAAACTTTTACTGTCTGTCAACGACGTCAAGGTGTTAGTAAAATATTATATGATCCATAGGGCAGATTTTAGTGAATCTCTCAGAAAATATTAGTTGGACGTTTCTCCACAACTGATTAACTTTGGAGTCAATCTGGCCAGCACAGCTACACTGCAAAAATGATGTAAAAATAAGTTTAAAATACTAGATTATAGTTTGAATCTTCTCAAATTAAGTGAAATAATCTGCCAGTGCAGTAAGACAATTGAACTTRATAAGACTTCTTAAAATAAGGAAAATAATTAGAGGCTAACAAGACGAATAATTTAACACATTCTGCTCTTGTTCGGGCTCAAAACAAGATCAAAAATACCTTTTTGGCTGGACATAAGATTGTAAGACTTGATTAGATGGATAGGTTTTGCAGTGATAATCAGCATTATTGTGAATAGGGGAATGTCTGTAAGTGTAAAGCGCTTTGGGGTCCGGAGGGACTTGATAAAGCGCTCTATAAGTTCAGTCCATTTAGCATTAGCCTCTACACAAAAATGATTAACACAGAATGTTTTACAGATRAAAAGCTGAAATTTARTGTGGTAGTAGCTGCAAGACATTCTCAATGCATACTTACATACAAAAATAAACAAAGATTAGTCAGAGTGCTGCTGCTTTCCACCTGCAGCATGAAACCACACACACACACACACACACACACACACACACACCTGACAGATAATCTGAAATAGCAGCTACAGGTACCAAATGCTGCCTAGTTATCCATTTAGAGTATCAGTTTACTTTCTGTAAACTGTCACTTGTGACAAAAATATTTGTTTGTTTAAAAAAGTGAAAAACTATTGGTTAATTATTGGCTTTTTAATTATTAAATTATCTGTCTGGTTCTGGTTAATCGCAATTAATGACCAACCACAAAGAAAAGGTTTGACCTAACATGGTTCAAAGGTTTTAGATGTACATAAGATGTTTAAAACAGACTTTGCTTCCTGTTTCTTAAATGGGCAATATCATGTAAAATCARCTTTTTTGAGTTTTATWTCATGTTAYAATGTTATACTCTCATAAAAAAACATGYCCAAAGTCTTACTTTGACTCATTCATGCATGTTTGAGAAATCCTGCAGCATTTTTAGTCAGCCATGCTGAGGAGCAAAACAACAGGTGGGAACCAGAAACTCCCCTGGGACGTGTCTTTAAGCCGAACTTCCTCATGGCGGAGCACACCTCCCCACCCCACACACCCCGCCCATGATGCCTGCAGGCTCTTGGGTGAAAGTGAAAGTGAAACCTAACTGTCTGCTGAGCTCTCAACATTTGTTCTCACTCAGTGAAGCGCTTTTCAGATTAAAAATACCTTTGAGGAAATGTATTTTCAGATGCCAAGTAAACTGCATCATGGCAGCACCCCCCCACCCCACCCGCCGCCTCCACGAGACAGAAGCGGAAGGTGTTCTTAAAGAGACAGAGGCCAATTTCAAGGCATTTAGAAGCAGAAGTGATGAGAAGATAAGTTTATTTTCTATTTAAACATAAAACAACATTTTAATAACAGCTAAAGGTGACATAGATACTTTATTGTGGTGTAGTATTTAAATGTATGCCTGAGAAACACATAATATTGGCCCTTTAATGTTTCATTAATGAAACATGCAAGATTTCAATAACTCATATTAAAGTGGTTTTATTTTAATTTTAGAACATTAGATCTTCCAAGGGCCCCTTTTGGCCCTTGAGCCATAAGTTGCTCATGTGTGAGTTAGCTGTTCCAAATGCATCAAAGAATAAAAGGAACTCTTAGCAGCATAGATCTCAGACCTAAAAAGTTTCAAATCAGTTCATGCAAACTCTATTACATAAACCTTTATATCACCATTAATTTTTCATTACATGGTTGTTTACATTGAATTTTATGATTACCTGCAAGTTCGAACAGCGACGGCAGCCACCGTAGCACATCCAGCGCAGCCTGAGGCGCTTCCAGCAGGAATATTATAGTACTCGTGTTGGAACTGACAGCAGCATAAAGGTTTGTGACAAAGCATTCATGTGAAGATGTGTGGAATTTGAAAGACTGGAGCTGTTTTAAGGCAACAACAATGTGCCTGTGTGGGTTTGTCTGCTACTAAAATACATCCTGAACCACTGGGGAATTTTTAAGCTAACTGAACCTAAAATGCACAAAAAGTTTGGTATTATAGCAGCTACAAAATTAATCCTAAAGTCATATTCATTAACTTGCAAACAGATGGAGCGAGATCTTTGGCTTAATCTGTTGGAGTCAATCTTGCCTGCCTGTTAGCAAAATATCTCGTGAACTACTGGATGGACTTTAATGAAGCTTACTTTTGAAGTCATCAGTGGAAGAAATGCATTTCCTTGATTTTCAGTTTTGTCATCGGATTTAGCAAAATTGAATGTTTTGTTATGATCATCAACTGTTCGGATGAAAAAGGCTGCCAATTAAAAACGTTTGCATCAGAAGTGCAATAATAGGATGCATCATACTTTTCCTGCTATTTTTGCAACAGTGTATTATCCACTTTATTTGTGCTAAAGTGGCCAAATTTACTAGCACTGCTCTGAGTGGTGTGTATTTTTAAACAGGCGTCGTGTGACAAAGTGCTGCGGCCACTCCTCATTCCAGTATGCTTCTCCCCTGAACAACCTGGTAAATACTCTCAAATTATGTGGCTTAATCTCCCTGTCAGCCTTCATTTGCCTCTACTTTCTCACTCAGTCCTCCTTGGCCTTTTAATAATACTTTTAAGAAATGTTCTCTCCCAGAGCGCATCATCGTTAAGATAAAAATCTGCTCAACCAAGCTGTCGTGAACATTTCTGCACAGGGTTAACAATGTTTTGGTGGTTTCTGACGTCTTGCTAAGGCGCCGCGATCAGCCAAACACACGTGTACTCTGACTCACTGAGGTGTCGTGAAAACCACCGCTGGATTAAGAACCGTCCACTGATTCGCAAACAAGCCGTCACATTTTAAACATCTGAGGTGCTGATTTGTTGCAGTTTGTTGTCCAAAGCTGTAGGGATGGTTGACATGTTCACTTTTTCCCCCCCTTTTTTTGTAAAAGCACACTGTTTGAACAACCTATTGCATAAAATAAACACCTGTCTGCGGGCTRACCTTGGCAGATTTTGCACACGTGCACAGCAGAGGGATGTACAGTAACAACAACAGAAAGGTCATTACAACCATCTCACAGAGGAGGCCCTCTGTTTAGTAGACGGGGCTTCCACCCTGGACAGGTATGTACTGTGCAATTACCACTAGCTCCTAGCGTGCAATTATCGCTAGGCGCTGCAGCATTAAGTGTGGAGACAGAGAGCAACTTAAAGAGAGAGACGGCTAGTGTCAGGTGTCATGATTTGCTTCACCTGACTAAGTTAATCTGCCTTACAGTTGTGCAGGGCGTCCTCAGATATGAGGGCAGACTCGTTTGCGGGGCCTGCGCTGCAGTGGGTGTGACCAAGCATGGGAGAATGTGTGTAGGTGTGTTTACCGTTTTAAAAATAGGGCATGTCTGACAGACAACTGACAAATTGAAATGTGTGTGCATAGGTTTGTCAGGGGACAGAAAGAGAGAGAGACAGAGACACCGTGTGAATGTGGCTCCGCGGTGCGACACCTCCATCATCAGAGACAGAATGTGGAAATGACAGGAATCTTTTTTTTTAACTATGAGCACCGGCTGCATATTTGCTCAAAGGTTGTTAGGGAGGAAAGTTCTCCTCAGATTCTAACTCCTGAGAGATTTGCTTGTTTATCACGTCTCGTACGCATGGATGTTTGTGTGTCTATGCGTGTGTGCACAGCCATGTCTGCAGGGTGAGGTGGAGGCCAACTCTTTGGCAGCAGGTCTGGCACGTCTTTCAGGCCCAAACCTGCAAAGGAGAGAGAAAACCAGAGAGGCAGAGTGCAAAAAAAAACGTGTACATCTTCCCCCCTGCGTGTGCTTCACTTTAACCTCACCATCACTACAAGCTCCTCGCACTGTCAAGCCAAACACGAGGCAGCTCCACATCACGCTGAATCCTGAAGTGGTTTACAATCCTAAACAAAGCAGGAAGCAGAAAAAGTGTAGAGTTAATCAACATCCACACGCCCACAACTTAATCTCCACTGAATCTCTGCTTCGATTTTCTTGTTTGCGTCTCACTGGGTGGTCACAATTTTCACTTGATACAATTTTTATTATGTTCTCTGTTTTTATGTTTTGGTTTAGATCCATATCCGTACAGCAGAACAGGGAGCAGCCATGTGGGGCAGGACTTGTTTTGCTTCGACACTTCAGCCAGGCGCATCGCTGCTGATGAAGACATTGTGTTTCGGTAGTCACGCATCTAAAGAATGTGTTTAAAGTCTATTTGCGGTCCTCTTTTTGGTTTGTTCCTCTTCCAGCTGGCCACACAGTTTGGCTTTTTTATTTTATTTTTTATTTTGACTGAAGCTTCCTGAAATTTGGTATTAAGTTACTAGTGGAGCAGGAGGTACTTACCGTATTAAAAGCTAAATGATAAATTGGAACATAGCTTCTTCAAAGTTAAATTTGAATATGGAAGAATCAAAAGTAAAAGTGCTGAATGCAGACAAGTGTGCTGATTTGAAGATTTAACAGCAGGGATTTTCCGTCTCATTTGCTCAGCTCACTTTGAACAGATTATTTGCTGCAACTTATATTGCCATGATCTGATAATAATTTTCTCATTTTTTTTCTAAATATTTGCTTAGAAAGTTTGAAAATAAAAAGAAATTCTGCCAGAACTGACTGAAAATATCCCCAAATGATAAGCAAAGTTCTTTTTAAAGACTATCAATTTGATTTGAACTTGCAATGTGTTTGATTTTATTTGAACCAAATTATTTGTTAACTATGAAACTGTATTTTTAGATGTTCATGAGGTGCTTAGGTTTATAATATTTAATACTTTGATATTTTTTTGAATCCAGGTGTCAGAGTGGAGTGTTTTTTGGGAAACCCTTCTCAGAGGTGTGAAATCACATGTTAGCTCTATCTGCAGCTGCAGTCAATAGTTTTTCTGCACTTCCATGAGCAGATAAACAACGGAAAGCACCAGATGATAGCAAAGCTCTGTTTGTTCCACTCAACCTTTTCAACATGTACTGTAGGAGCAACACAACCTCATACTTAGTCCAAACCCTTATATCATGGTTTAAAGCAAATATTCTGCAGTGATTTCACTCAMAGTTTGGGTTGTAAAAGACYCTCAAAATTTAACCCTTATATCTGTAAAATTAGCTGAGTCATACACATTTTTGTGTTTTCTAAAGGCAATTTGCTGTGGTGGCCATGTTGAATTAAGTTGAGGTTCATCCAATTATTACTTTCTGAAGGCTTTGTTAAAATGTATTTTGTGGTTTCTGAGATGTTATGCTAACAGACAGAAAGAGTTAATGCCAATATTTGTCATCGGTGTTCAAAGCCTCAACTACTGTCACACCAAATCTTAGCTCAGTAGCTGAAAGGATGACAATTTTTGTGTTTGCTATGATTGCTTTGCAATGGTGGCCATATTGAATCGAACTGACTTCAAAAGTTAAAAACCTGTACTGGTGACTTTCTGAAGGTTTTGTTAAAACCTATAGTGATTCATGGTGTATTTTGCTAACACAGCACACACAGACATGGACAAAAACATCATTGCTTTGCCTTCCCCCTCAGTGGCGGGCAATCATCACCATCTGGCCTTGTGAGTCAACAGGGTTGGTTAAATTAAAGATCAAGATTGTGGGTTGCTGTTGAAACTAAGTCAAGTATCTGCTGAGGATGTTGTTAGATAAAAGGATTTCCTAAATAACATCCACATAATGCCTACACCTACACAAAAAAAAAAAAACACTTCTAAAGAGTGGATGTGTCCCCTGGGGCAGAAAGTAAATCACTGTACATTGTGACCAAGGCATAAAAGTGGCATTACCGAGTGTATCAACTGCATAACCTCAAAGGAAATCTCTATTCAGCSGCCATAAAAGGACGCCTTTGCTCTCCATTGCCGTCGGGCCGGTTATGGAAAGAAAGAATGGATTAGGAGAGATAACAGAGAGAAGAAAAGTGGAGAGCGGACAGGTGAAGTCCTGTGGCGGTGAAGGTTTGCTCAGCTGTGCTGTGCGGTGTGTTTTTCTGCACCCCACCCATGTTACCAAAGCCTGGGATATCTTTCCATTTCTCCCATCTCCACCCTCTCCCTCGCTTGTGTCGCTCTCTCGCTTTCATATTTGCACAGGTGAGAGGACAGCAGTCCGATAGGTGTGGGTGGGGGACCTGAAAGTCAGGTTTGCCTGGCTGGTGGAAAGAGATTCGCCTCCAGACTGGGGATGAATGGAGATCTGATTGCAGAAACCCAGCCAGCATTTTGTCTGGAGAGACAGACAGCAAACACGCTAATGTGAAAAAAAACACAAGGGAATCCTGTCAATGAGTGATTTAAAGTTCACTAATCATTATGAGCATAAAACAGAGTGAGTGACACAAATTAAGAGAATTAAAGASCTAGTGTTCTTTTAAGAAATATGTATTGTTTACCATCATTTTACCAGTTTTAATTCACAATAGCTGTCAAAGCCACATCTTGTAAGATGTGTTAGTGTCCAGGGTATGCGTTGAGAATGACTCTCAGCTACTACTACACCAAATTTAGGCTCAAAATCTGTAAAGCTTATTGAGTTATAACCAGCTTTTTGTTGGCTTAGGTTAGGAGGAGGATGGTGACCATTGAGTTATATTACTGGATTGGATGTCACATGGTTTGAGACATGCAGAGGCTCAAGAAAAGGAAGACTGACACATCATGAACTGAATGTTTTGCTGTAACCTGTAGCACACATCAAAATTTACAGACAAAAGCACAATGAATAACACTTCACACAAGTTTCTTCTTTACTTACTGTAATAAAGCAATCATTTAGGTCACCTGTTCAGCAATACATAATGTTAGCTGCAGGCAGACTCGTGCAAATTATRCTCCAAATTGATTGAACACAATCAGTAAACAGATGTCAGAGATAGGAGCCAGTGTAGGTCACAGCTCCAACTTCACAGCTGCTGGTACCATGCAATTTAAAAATTAATGTACAATAAGCTATTTGTTAACCTCAAAATATATTGTTGTTTAAATATTTTATTCCAACACAGAGTTTTGTATTTTAAATAAAATATAAATGTTTTTTATTATTATTATTTTAATTATTATTTGCCATTATTTAACCAGGCAAGTCCCGTTGARATCKCAGATCTYTTTTTCAAGGGAGGCCAGGGCCTGAAGGCAACCWATTGTACATGTTTTTGGGGGTGGGGGAAACCAGAGTATCCGGAGAAAATGCACACATCCCTAAAATACATAATACAGTGGGTAAGATAAGTATTGAACACGTCACCATTTTTCTCAGTAAATATATTACTAGAGGTGATAATGACATGAAATGTTCACCAGATGTCGGTAACAACCCAAGTGATCCATTCATACAAAGAAATCAAACCATAAATTCCAGAAATGAAGTTATTTGTAATAATAAGGAATGGCACAGGGAAAAAGTATTGAAAACACTTAATGAAATTTATCTAATACTTTGTACAAAAGCCTTTGTTGTCAATGACAGCTTCAAGACGCCTCCTGTATGGAGAAACTAGTGGCATGCATTGCTCAGGTGTGATTTTGGCCCATTCTTCCACACAAACAGTCTTCAAATCTTGAAGGTTTCGTGGACCTCTTCTATGAACTCTGATCTTTAGTTCTTTCCATAGATTTTCTGTTGGATTCAGGTCAGGTGATTGGCTGGGCCATTCCAGCAGCTTTAGTTTCTTTCTCTGAAACCAACTGAGAGTTTCCTTGGCTTTGTGTTTGGGCTCATTGTCTTGCTGAAATGTCCAGCCACGTTTCATCTTCATCATCCTGGTAGATGGAAGCAGATTTTTATCAAGAATGTCTCTGTACATTTTTCCACTCATCCTTCCTTCAATTATTTGAAGTTTGCCAGTACCATATGCTGAAAAACAGCCCCACACCATGATGTTCCCACCTCCAAACTTCACTGTTGGTATGGTGTTTTTGGGCTGATGTGCAGTGTCATTTGACCTCCAAACATGATGTGTATTCTGGCATCCAAACAGTTCAATGTTGGTCTCATCTGACCAGACTATATTCTCCCAGTATTACACAGGCTTGTTTAAATGTTGTGCAGCAAACTTTAAAGGAGCTTCAACATGCTGTTTCTTCAGCAGTGGAGTCTTGCGTGGTGAGCGTGCATACAGGCCATGGTGGTTCAGTGCATTACTTATTGTTTTCTTTGAAACAAACGGACCTGCTAATTCCAGGTCTTTCTGAAGCTCTCCACAAGTGGTCCTTGGCTCTTGGACAACTCTTCTGATMATTCTTTTCACTCCTCTGTCAGAAATCTTGTGAGGAGCACCTGGTCGTGGTCGGTTTATGGTGAAATAATGTTCTTTCCACTTCTGAATTATGGCCCCAACAGTGCTCACTGGAACCTTCAGAAGTTTAGACATTCTTCTGTAACCGATGCCATCATTATGCTTTGCAACAATAAGGTTGTGAAGGTCTTGAGAGAGCTCTTTACTTTTACCCATCATCAGATGGTTCTTGTGTGATACCTGGCTATCATTTGGGACTGAACCAGTTGATATTAATTTGCACTGACAAGGGGCAGGCTTGTTTTCTAATTACTGAGAGAGTTCAGCTGGTGTCTTGGCTTCCCATGCCTTTTTACACCTCCCTTTCTTCATGTGTTCAATACTTTTTCCCTGTGYCATTCCACATTATTACAAATAACTTCATTTCTGGACATTTATGGTTTGATTTCTTTGTATGTATGGATCACTTTGGGTTGTTACCAACATCTGGTGAAAATTTCATGTCATTAGCACCTGTAGTAATACTGTATATTTACTATGAAAAATGGTGACGTGTTCAATATTTATTTTACCCATTGTAGTTCAAGACTTCTGTGATTTAACAAACAGGCAGCATATGTAAAAAAGTTTTTTTTTACTTATTATTATTTATTCAATCAACGTGAAA